ACATCGTTTGCATTGAAAATGGAGGATTTATTTTTGTTACCATAATGTGTACAACACATCGAGCGCCCAATCCTTTATATCTAGGTTATATATAACGGGTAATTCGTCACTATCCTTAAATACTAACACTTTATCTTGAAATAAGTCTCAATTTTTTTGGACGGTAAACCCTCATGAAATTTTGCGTTAAGTTCATACATCTACATGTCTACAGAACATATACTTTTTATAACTGGTGTCAGCTCGTGATAAGTACCTTAATTCTAAATCAATTGATCGATATCTAAATACTTGGTTCTGACCAAGAACAATATGAGTACTCTAAAAATTTCAATTAGATCCTCTCAAAGGTTCGAAAGGACGAACAAATTATATTTATATTTATTATTTGATTCAAAGGTAGAGTAACCTGTAGAAGACTGGTAGGTTCATGAATTATGTAAAATCTGTTTACACTGACAAATTTATTGCTTCTTTTCATAAACTATTCATTTATCAAAGGTGTTTTTTGAATGGTTTTAGAACTGACTTAAAATTAGACACAGTTATCTTAAGTTTGTCTCTGTACTATACTATCCTGATTACTTTCGTTTTATAAAATGTCTAACTCTTAAACAAATTTGTCAATAAAGATTTTTTTGTAGGTAACGTTGGATTTTCTCTAAAATTATTTAACTCTGTAAAAGGTTCAAAACAGTACCTTTAACGTGAATAAATCCTCACTACGATGAATGAGGTTATGTTACGCATATATCTATAGTGATAAGTTCAGAAAACTAACGACTAAATTCGTAAAAACAAAAAAGTTCATCCAACTGCTAAACTCTAACAGGTTTCGTTATTTCTGTTGTAAAGTACTTTTGATTTCTACAGACTCTCCACTCCATTGATTGGAAAGCGACTTATAAATCTTTAGGGTTATTTCAAGAATCTATCAAATGCATCTTAAAATGACAGTTATGAATTAATGCTTGGAATAAAACATAAATTAATTAGCCACTCAGTAACAGTACCGAATGTCATATTGTCTAATGTTTTCCACTGATCAAACCATATCCATCGTTTTATCATCTCAGGCCACCAGTGTAGGTAACCTAACATTTGATTTTATGTTAAAGGATCGAAAGCAACTAGCAAGTAGCCTTCGACACTGAAGTTCCATGCTGCACCTAAAAAGAAAAAGAAGGTTCTCAGTAAAGCTGTTTAGGTTGTGGAATTAGTTTGAGGTTATCGTAAGGTATGGACATTGTAAGGTGAAAACAGCGTCTGCGTCTGTAGTGACTTTGAGTTTGTTCTGCTTGAACCAATAATACTGATTCTACAATACAATGATTAGATATGGTAAGGCTTATCGGCCTACGCGAAATTCCTCCGTCTCCAAGCCCCTAATCACAGTTCAAGAATGGGACACCCCTATGTAACCTCTAAATCTGATACAAAAACCCGTGATTATAAACATATAAACTACAGAATCTCAATGCAGTTTAAATAGGAAATCACATCTATCTAACTAGCGAGCAGTCACGGTATGAAGCTTATAATTAATTCATAACAATGTAGAAATCGTAGAAGGTATAAGAATAATTCACGAGTTAATTGCAGGCACATAATTAGAAGTTTCAACGTTTGTCATTATCATTTATTTGTCTGGACATAATACAGAGAACTGTACTGGTATTGATGGAAATTTGGTTCACTAAAAATCAATATTAATCGGATACACTACAACAATGTTTATCCATATCTGTTTGTCATAAATATTATTTGAATATGTACGAAGACGGCTGAAAGCATTTCTTAACGATCGATTGCAGACCCCAATAAAACTGATCTTTATCGTTTCCACTGCTATCATTCGTGGGTGCATAGCATTCGATGATATTTATCTTAATCTCGTCCTTTGTTTTAAAGAATGATTTGATGATCCTGGGTTCATGAGATTCCCATCCTATAAGTGCTTTCCGCGTGTAGGAAGCAATTTCCTACAGGTGCAACTCTAAGCTATTCTCTTGACTGTCAAATCCAGAGTCTTGGATTAGCCAAAGTTAGAACAAGTAAGCTATTTGGCTTAATAAACTTTATCTGTTTGAAACAGTAACTAGATGATAGGAAAAATGGGTCAACAATGCGAATATTGTTTTACAATGAACATAAAATTGTGATTGATGGATGAACAAGACATAGTCATACAAGGTCAAAGAAAGTTAATGTGGTGGTGAGTGTTTCGCCTTATCGTTGGTGTGTTCGTTTATCGATTTCACCTTACACAACGCTTCTTTGGACAGCAGCAGTGCGACTATTTCGGTGTGCAAGACATGTTCATGACCGAACCTAATCTTTTCTGTCTAGCTAGCGTCCAATAGGTTTTGATTATTCCAAGCACCTCCAGGTTGTATCTCTTTAAAAACAATTTTATATTCATAGCAGTGTCCGATTTTTATTGAATCTAGTTGAAAAGCAAAATGTTCACTATCACGAAAAAGGTCGTCATCAATCTATTTAGTTAAATTTTACTTTTATTAACTGACAACCCACATCTTCATACTTATTAAAATTTCGAATCATTGATGGTAGTTAGTTGATGTCTTTTTGATCATTATTATTCCACTTCCATCAGTTTTTATTAGTATTATGTTGAGAACCTTGATAGCATTTTTCCAGAATCCTTTGTCTGTGGTCTCTGGAAGAATAATGCAAGTCTTTTAATATGTTGTTAAGTGAAGCGTCTAACTGACTATTTAGTCAAACATCTGTCAGTTACTAATTGTTTATATGTAGAAGTTGAATACTGAAAAACAAACTTCTCTGTCGCTTCCTAGCTCCTAAACGTCTCTTAAACCTTGAACAGTTAAAATAAAGAAGGTGAAAAATATGGAAGAAACTTCACTTCATAAATCTATGATTAAAATGAAAACAAAGTTCTCCATAAAATTATATGTAACCTTAAGACCTTAGAAGCTCCGTGGAAGTACTTAGTGACAAATCCGTCAGTTGTTTAGTCTCGAAAATAAAAAAATAACAGTCAAGAATTAGTGTATTTGTATTATGAATAGCAGTGGAGCTGAAAAGGCTGCATATATGTCAATAGGGACGGATCAGTTACAGTTCTTAGTATCAACATTCAAAAGTTAAAAATCCTTGCTTCTAACAATAACAACAGGTAAGTTGAAAGAAGCTATCTCTAAATCATTATTTTGATGTATTCACAAACAGCCGGAAATTTCTGTTCATTGTTGAACCAATTTCTTACCGGTAGAAGTATCTCTGAAGTAGTGTGGTTATTCTTATAAGAATGTGGTCATATACTTATTAACAAAAATAGTATTGCAGAACGTTCATATTACCTTAATTGACAGCTATATTTCAACGTCATTCGATAGATTGTCATATACTGCACCGATCCGAAATAACGATCAATTAATTTCTCGTACTTCTGTATTGATCAGTATTGTGACAAACACTATACCTCACAATGTGTATATAAACTAACAGTATATTACTTTCTGGTGATTTCCATACTTGATGATGATCACGTGAATGATGCGTCAGAAAATGTAGAAAAAGATGGTATTTGTGACCAGTCATATGATGTTTTGCTGTTTTCTAGTTGGATATTCTTTTTATTAAATTGGTAATTTCTATGCTCCATATGAAAGAAAACTACTACAACGTAATGATGGTAAACATTCGTGGCTTAGGTGGATGATCTTGATGGTGTTGATTTCCCCGAGCTAGATAATTTAACTGCTAAGGTTTCACTGCAATTCCGAACAACAGCGTTCAATTCACGTGGAATTGAGCTTACTAGTTATTCCACAATTGTTATATAAGTTCATTCCGGTAACTTAGTGACTGGCTTTCTTTATTGGCTTAATCACCTTCACATGCTTTGAATTCATGTTCACTGTCATTGTTAGTTGACTACCGATCTTGTGATTGATTAATCTCCTTTATCACGAGGTCATAGATTGGATTAGCGTCGATATGTCTGTTTCTTGCTAAGTGATCAGAGTCCCATGCTTTTGGAAATTCCCTGACATCCTAGGATTTTCCCTGATCCGAAATTCGTCTATTTTCCCATGTGTTTATATCAATGGTATTAATATTTTCATCTCGCCCCACTGCTAATCTGTGATAACGTATGCGCGTAGGTCAAAGACCCGCCCACTGTGTTTAGTGTTATACTTATAGCGGTTGGTCCAATTTATTATGTAAATGATGTTGCATTTATCTACCTTTGTCTTGTGATCTACATAAAATGGACTGAAATGACAATTGATTTGCGAATGATGTTGATACCAAAGAACTTTATGACATTGGAAGCAGTTTCTGAGGTTGGTTTTTTAACGGTGTTTTGACTGAACAGACATCTTTTGCTAAAATTGATAAAGTATCAGTTATAACAAAAAACGAACTGGAAATAAATGAATTGAATGATTATAAAGTTCAATTCTACATGAAGTAAGCGCTAAAAATGTCCTCATTGGCTGTCATGACTGACGGAAGAAGTTACGCACAACTTTTTTGATTCTTGATAAGTGAGTTGTTCCCAACGCTATCGAGCGACTTTCATTTCATTTGGTTAGTGAGCAATACTGTGTATAAAAGTGTAGAATCTTCATTAGAAATTTCATTCTGCATGTTCGTTTCACTGTGTAACACTGATTTGTCCTTAGCAAACAATTGCTAATAACTACTTCTTCAGACTCTTCATATGATATGAAAAATACACTCAAATATGAAGCACTCCTCGCACAAATGAAAATTCCTTGGACCACAGCAAAGCTCATCATAGCTGACATTTAGATAGGGTTTCACCAAAGTGAACAAAAAAGATTATTAGGATTTTCAGGTCTATTTAAGAGTCAACTGTAAAAAAGCATTATCTTGTCAAAGAAACGTTTCACTTATGGGGAATACAATGCGGTATAGCATCAAAAACGTTAAGTTTTTTCTTACTGAAACCTCTCTTATCTTCACTTTTCTCCATTAAAAACCAGAGATGCTGTAATATTCGCTATCATCAATTGTGCAACTTCTGTATACGCTGGATTTGTTATCTTTAGTAATTTGGGTTTTATGGCTTTAACAAAGAATACAACAGTCGCTGCAGTTGCGACATCCGGTGAGTTAACAAGTTATTCCTTGTATTTAAATATATCTTCATGTGTATACATATCTACCTATGATACTTTTCAGCTGTTTGAGTGTATGTTTAACTAGAAGAGTATGTATAAAAACGTTTTTTGTAAAATTCATAATTTGTTGAAAACTTAGTAGGTAAATGATATTTGGCTAGTTTTGTTGTCAATACACAATCAGTTTTTTATCGATCTAATTGATAACTAGCGTCCTATATATTTTGTAATGTAAATTGATACGATCTGGAATAAAGTATTGATTGACTTTGGTTTTGGACTACAGAAGCATATCGTCATCCGTTCAGTACTAGTTTGAATATTTGGAGATTAATAATAGCCCTAGCGTAATCTTTTTTATAAATACACTTTAGTTTGAAATTCTTCTCTCGGGGAAATAAAGCTGTCCGCGTAGTTCGTCTATGTTAGCTTACTTATAACGAGCGAATTCTCAGAGTCAAAATAAGTGTTACCACGTTCATCGGTCGTCCGACTCAGATTCCGATTCACATACTTCCTATATGATTGCTGGATCTGCTATATGAGTGAGGATATCATGTAAGAATAACTAGAAAGCTGTGAATGCCAAAGCCAAATAAATTGTACATAAATCATGGGTGTTTATAGACCTGTCCCTCTCATCTAGACAACTGTATGGTTGATGAGATCTTGATTAGGTGTAAAAGCTCCCCTTGTTTATCAGCTCTCCTATACAGTTCGATCTTAAGGTGCTATGTGAATACAAATACATGGTGTATGTGGATTCGCACTGCCTAACACTTAATTGGTATATCAAACGGCAGATTATATAATAATCAATGAGCTGCATAAAATACAATTATTTCTAGCCTTACAGTTTTCTGTTGTATGTTAGATTTAAGGTATAGAATTTTTACTTTTGTGAAAATTTATTACATTACTGAAAACAACCTAATATTGTTGAGGGGCTATAGCTATTCAGTTTACTTTGAATACCATAAAATACGTTTATTTTTATTATGAAATCAGTGAATAGTCGTTATATTTGAACATATTTCGTAAAACTTTTGTTCGTTTTTGCACAAAACGATTTGTTACATACAACACTGAAATTATAATTTTCAATTTCTATTTCATATCAAGATACAGCTTCTAAGAATTAAATACTACTAAACCTTCAATGTAATTTTTGTTTCTACTGAACTCGGTGATTAAACGTCTTGTACATTGAACTCCTCTTCTAGTTCACAAAAGTCTTCGTCTCTTGAACTTCAGATGGAAAATAGAACACTCAAAATTTAAGAGAAGCTGTAGTCAGATAATTAAGAAGAACGTTGACAATTTTCAGACTGCAGACGTTTCGGAAGATGCTAGGATTGAAAATCGTTTTGACACTTCTTCAACAAGAATACAGAAGCCATGATTAGTCGTTCCTTAAACTTTCCTTGATATTGTGCTATAAACTTTGGTTGGTTCAAGTATCTTTGGCATTTCCGTTGGCTTTAGGGAGGAATCGTCGAAAAATTATTGGGGGGTTTCTATACATTGATCATTGTACACCCTGGTGTTGTTTTAATCACTTTATTTTAAAACAAAAAGTTTTGCGATTTTCAAATACGTCCTATTCAATATTAATGTAAGGATGCTAATTAACTTCTCTATATGGGTTAGTATCACACAAATATATAACATTTTTGCACACATAGTTCAGCTCTTAAACAGTTGGCCACACGTTCTAAGTGCGGTTTTTATTCGGTTTGAATAGCCGGATAATTATCAGTAACCGTCAAATAAACGGGTAAAGCTCAAGGTCAGGGAAGAAGTAAATGTATACCAGATAGATGAAATCCTATACTTTCTTAAGTGTAGTTACTAATTATAAATGTCCCTTGAGATATCTATTATCAGGGTGGTGAGTGTGCAGTGCTTAAGAGTTTCATACTAGGGCGAAACGGGCCTTAAGCGTTTCAAGACTTTTAATGGATGTCTTACACAAGTCGATTCGTAAATACAATGAAACTCAACGATCTTCAAAACTATTAAAACTATTAAAGATCAAGTTGAATGTATGTCTACATCTTTTGTGCAGAACATGAAATTGTAATCAGTCATTGCATAGTTAACGCTTCGTTAATTATCACTTCCGAAAATTCCATCACATTACATAGTAGTCATTGTGAGAATAGCCGCCCAAACATTAGCCATTTTCTTCTATTCAATAAAAATAACATTTGTTCAGGTCCTGGACTCGCTTTCGTTGTCTATCCTGAGGCGATGACAAATATGCCACTACCCAGTTTATGGTCAGTGTTATTTTTCATCATGATGTTAACACTTGGTCTTGGTTCACAATTTTCCATATTGGAAACAACTCTTTCTGGTACAGAAGATGAACTGAGACGATTAGGTGTATTGTTGACAACAAGACGTAAAATGTTCTACCGGTAAGTTGAACAAATAATTCTGATAATGCACATGATTTTTATTGTTATTGTTGGTTTTGCCATTCAATTGCCTTTGTTTTTTAGTGCTATATTTTCGATTTTATGAATGTTCAATAATAAAGTGATTTTTTTTATTGTTGTGGGGATATTTGACTGGTAGAATAATTAGATATATTTCGCGAGTACGTGATGTCCTGCGTTAAATTCCCGCTTGTGCGATCATGAATGCACGTTACTGAGGTGTCCGATGCTAGGACGAAATAGCCGTCCAGTTCTTCTAGGTTTTTACCAGTGGTCTAACTTCAGTCGGTTCACGATTTTAATAAAATATTAGTTAGCTAGCTAACAGCAACATGCCGCATGGTACATATATTTATTAATGGAATTCATCATATCATACCAGTACTGCATGATGAATACAAACTGATCGAAGTAGTAGTCGATAATATAATTCGAGAGGGAAGAATGAATTGGCAGGAAAAATTGTATGAGATTATATTGAAACTCAGAATCTTAAGGTGGAAAAATAATGAATCTATCTGAACCATTGGGATCGATTTTGACTTGTGTCATACAACGTCTCTAACCTTTGCACATCTAACACAAAATCTAGGTTTTGTTTCATACAATTTTTCAAATAGCAGAATAAATTAAAGTCATTTATTTCGTGTGGTTTTTCATCAGTGGCTTACAACATGAGAACAATAGTACTAATGTGGTGTGTGCTACTGATGTCGTCAGATATAAGTAGAATGTATCACCAGTCGAAAGTGAAATACCTGGAGGCAACAGGTTAAGAAGATCAAAGAAACGAGGATGAGAACAAAGAATAATTGGTGTGGAAACGAAAGAACAATGAAGTCTGAGACGACTGACTGATATTTGCAAAGGAACAGTCAAGTTCGAGACAACAGATTAACATTTTGCAAATGAAGTATTTACTGTATGGTTCTCAGATTTTGGTGAGATGTTCTGTAATTTTGTGTTCAATTACATTCGATTGTCCCCACTTGTGTTCTCGTTCACTACACTAATTATTTATGAATAATGTACAGACTTTATGTCATATTAGTAGAATAACGGCAACAGATATGGGAGAATTATAGGAGAGTAAAATGAATAATGATTTATACAGGAAATTTTCAAACACACAGAGGCACGTTGCTAGAGAATGAAAATTGATGCCAAGGCTACGTAGTAACACATAAACTTGTATAGATTAACATAATAAAATGAGGAAATCTCAAAAGAAGAATGATACAACAATCAAAGAAAAAGAACTTTTATTGAAAAAATGAAGTTAGTTTGTACGCAATTGGATAATAAAAAAATAATTTACCAGTTGCTGGTGAGAGATTGACAACTGTATCGTTTCAATTTTATTAATACTGATGGCCACAGCGTAGAGTAGTAAATTCGAGGTTGTTTGAGCATTGGTTTTTTGTCCTACATTCAAAGAACAGAATGAAAGATTCTTGTTTGAATCATGTAGCACATTGTATATTCATGTATATTCAACAGTGCTTTTGATCATCATCTGTTCAGAAGTGAACATAATGTTGATCTTTCAAAATTGTCCAAAATAATCAATATTTAAACAATTTTGAAACATCTATTCAGTGTTTTTGATTCTCAATGGCTGTATAACTATGAATCAGTTCGTGATATAAAACATAAAAGTCGGTCATTTCATTTGAATTCTTATATTGCTGCTTACATTAAAGAATTCGAAGAATGTAATGAAGTATATCACAACAATTCATTGTCTTGTATAAATTTACTAACTGAATAACTAACTACCATTCATTTATATTTACGAAATATTTTAAGCTAGTAGCTATACTCTCATGATATTCCGTTTTTTTAATCGCGTATTATACTTGATTGGGAAACTTTCTCACCTATAATTCATCTTGCATCAATTGTTTATCAGTCTCTTATATGACATATGTACATCCTATGAGGATTACCTCAATAATCTCATTAAATCACAAGGATTACAAGCGGAGGTGGATGGTGACTAACAGTGGAACCCAGAGCTCACATTTTATCCTATTTGTGATTCGTCAACTTGATGTACCTGCATACTAGAGTTGATGTTTACTCCGGAACTCGATCCCAGTACAGTTGACATGAAACGTCATCTCATTATCCACGTGACTACTGAGTCGAGATAGCAACTGGATTGTGTAATGCGGTGAAGCTTTTATTTATTTGTATTGGTTATTTGAATCTTCCCATTGATGTTTAGGAATATGATGAGTACCTACCGTTATCATCCAGAATATTATTTTAATAAAACAAATTTATTATAAATAAATAACTATATTGCACTTTCTTTACATTTGGAAAATAGGTTAATCGCCTAGACATCAAAACTAGACTGTGTAATAACAAATCTCCCTATAATACTATTCATATACCAAAAATGATTAATACATACACTTTGTTTTATCCTTCTCCCTTTCTTTCTTTTCTTTCTTTATGTTATTATGGTTGTTATTGATCTACATAGAATTGTTATATGCTTTGTTGATTTCTTGCTTGGATTACCTATGGTCTGTGCTGGTGGTTATTATTTATTCTCTATATGTGATAGTGTAATATCAGGTTATACACCTTTGGTTATTGCATTATGTGAAACAATTGTTATCTGTTATGTATATGGTAAGTTGTAATTTATCATAATCAACCTTATCACAGATGATCAACACTTTGATGACTACAAATTATTTAAGAGTTAATTTATCAAAACGAGTGATTTCGCAGAAGAAAATTTCCCATGATTTTTTGGGGAAAAAATGTTTGATAAAAGTGAAAACATTTGATGTGATAGAATAATAGATCAGTGCTTCATTTCAAAGAAATTTAACATTTTAGTTATTTGAAACATCATACAATTAATATGACAGCGTAATAATTGAATTCATTGAAGAGTGAATGATTTATCATTTTTGCTACTTCCAATTATCTATTTGTTGATCGAATTCTAATGATTATGTTTTTTTGCATTCAATAATCTATATGTTAAGAGTGCTCGTTTGTTCACTGCGATTCTTGTCTTCTAAAATCAGTTTTATTTGATAGGAGGATGGACTACAGTTACTAAACGGTCACGTGAGCAACTGCCTATCATTTAGCAATATTGTAATATTAATCCATCAGTCAAGTGATATATTTCATACATTTTATTCGACTGGAACAAGAACGATTAACGTTGCAGAATAACATGAATTCGTTATATCATTTGTGGTTTCTCGTCAGCTGTTTACATCTTGAACATAATAGTATCAATCATTAAAAATCACATTGGAAAATTAGTGAAAAGAGTAATAATTATGACGGAACTAGCAAGGATGTGCATTTGTTGGATAATGTGAATGTTTATAAGTTGAATGTATAAGAATGTTCTAAGATAGATAACTAAGAACTTAGAAACAAATTTATTTAAAGCAATATATTAATGTTATAATTATTTAACTCTTACAACAAAATTAATTGAGTACAGGTGAGATACATAATAAGAATTAATTATAAGTAGCATAAAAAGAAGGACGACGTAACAAATACTTATGGACGAAGCCACCATGGTAAGGCATGACTGACAATTGAATCTGATCTACTATAGCAATTACTTTGAGAAATCGAAGTGACCTAGACGTTCTCTGTTTATTAATTATCGTGGAGGCCTTTAAGACGTCAACACCATTGTCCAGCAGACGGTGTGCTTTTGCACTACTGGAAACGCATTATCTTCTGAGTCTTAGCATTCTATGGAATGCGCTCAGCTATGCGGAAACCAACCCACTTTTCTGTTCTTCCGATGGACGTGCCTTAGCACGCAGATGTAAACTGGTGAACATATTTAGAAGTAACAAGGTGGGGATTTACCCACATGACTGTCTTGATGAGTAATTCGTTTTGATGCAGAGAGATCACCTTGATAACCAGATAACTGCCCAATACTAGACATGAATGACTGTATAGAGGATTTGTAGAGATTGATGAATTTCATATTTTTCGTCATAAACTTATTGAAAAGCCATTGAAAACTAGGAAGCAATTGATTGCTGTTTCGTTCCAGTATTAGTCTTCTCAAGAAAGTGCACTCACAGCTACACTGATAATTGAACCAAGGATCATAGTGGTCTTGATGTCAGCGCTTAATCTTTAAATAATATTTTAAATAGTCTGCATCCAGTATTTTACATGCTGAATTTATGATATTGCACAACCGTCTTCCAAGTCTCTCAATGAGTTAATCGCTACACATCCGACAATATTGAACTTAACTAGTCACGGCTTCTGGCTAGAGCTCAAGGAATTTTATTCTCTAAATCAGTTTCAAGTTAGAAATATAAACTATTGGGTCCTATCTGCTCAGCCTTGCCACTGATTAATCGCCCAACGCATAACCTAAATGTTTTAGGATTAAACACAACATAGATCATCCAACGCCTGATTTTAAATAGTTGGTTGACTAAGATCTGTTCATGATGTGAATTTTAAAGCTTTATTCTTGTTATAATCATCCGAATGAATTTCCATAGCAATCGAACTTTTCGCCTAAATTATTTGTTTCAATTCTAATCCTCACTTTCAAATTTCTCTTCATTTATTATATATCAGGGTTAAAACAATTTCGGCGTGATATTGAATTGATGATTGATGAACGACCAAATTGGTATTGGCGCATTTGTTGGCTTGTATTCACACCGATCATTTGTTTCTTATTGATAATTTCAATATTTATTTATTCAACAGAATTTAAAGAAGGCAATTATACATATCCGCAATGGGCATTAATATTTCGTCAAATATTAGCAGCTATACCTGTATTAACAATTATTGCATGGTTTTTATATAAATACTGTAAAGAAGGTGGTTTTGTCGTAAGTTTCTTTCATTATTTTTATGTTGTGAATGATTTATCTTTGGTAAAGTGTGTTAAGTGGGAGAAAAAAAATACTGTGTTGACAAAAATTAACAACTCTAGTTGGTATAGTTCATCTTTAGCTAATCAGCATGGAAGTAATGCAAATGAATAATTGTTTAGGGGTTCTGTGGAGATTGACTGATTTGAATGGATTACATTACGTACTGATCATATTTAGGCCATCACCAGAAACCAAGAAGCACTGGACATCTGTTTCTTTCTAGTATAAAACTCCCCCAGCAGTGCGCATTCACAACCCCACGACAAGTGGTCACACCCAGAACTCCTGTCTCAGGAGCAGGTGCTTAAACTCTAGACCACCGAGCCGGAAAACAACCGTTCAGTGCCTCTTGGATTTCAGTAATAGTCTAGCGAATATTAGTCATTGATGTGATTTGTAAGAAAATAGTGTATTACATAAAGACCCGAAAAGGTTGGAGTAAGGAATTCGAGTTTGAGTAACAGTAGAAGGATACTTTGTAACCAAATTGATAAACGATTATGTAGATAGTTCTTTAATTTTGGATCTCAAAAACATATTAGCTACATTGAAGCCTTTTCAAATAATGTTAAAACGTTGCGTTGCAAGTCGTTTCATCATGTACATTTTTTTCCGATCGACGATCTAATCATTTTTTTCATCAATATTTCAAGAGTTACTCTCTAATTCCTCAATATTTTTTAGTCTCATTGTTTTTATAAACTACTTATCATTAGTTTGCTTGAAAACCTATCTTAAAGCCACTGGCTCTTCATCAAAGCTGACTTCTACTGTCATTCATACGTCTAAACCTTAGTGTTGATCGAATTCTAAAAGTCAAGTTACACTATAGCTATTAATCTAAATTTTTTCTCTGTAATCTCATACGCTATACTTTGATGTTCCGGAACAGAGTCGACAGAGTGACCTAGTTTACTCCAAGATATATTTTTATTTCTCGTAGCTACTTACAAAATTATTTTTAAACTCCCTGCCTCACTTTATGAATAGTTAATGAAAGAATTTTTAAAACCTGTTCATGAATGGGGACCAGCCGAGAAAGAATATCGTACAGAATTCATTACAATGATTAAATCAAATGAATCGTTACATCGTTCGCGTATTTATGATATTGGTCCTAGTAATGCATCTGCAACAATGGCTCATGGATTATCTAATAGTCAAATGCAAATGAATTTTAATTTAGGCGGTTCAATTGTCAGTGGATTAGCTGTTGCCACTGGTGTAATCGACGATACAAAATTTTTTCAGAGTAAATTAAAAGTAGCTGAAAAACTTACTGAAGCTCATACAAAAGAAGTGATAAAACGAGTTGCTAGTAATGCAGATTTCGCTCCATTAGATACTAATCTAGCTATAGCAGCCAGTCAAACAGTAAGTTCATGTCATTATTATTATTATTATTATTATTATTATTATTATTATTTATTTATTTATTTATTTATTGAGGGATTTTATGTTTCACATCATGAACTGACCTTAGCCTAGCTAACCATTGAAAACTAGGAAGTGTAGTGGATAACTCATGTATTCTTAGTATCCGAAACCTTTACAGCATATATCCATGACCCACCCATCTCCATTGGAGGTCGAACTCAGAGTTCCCAATAATAATTGTATAACTAATATCTGCTTTTTTTAATCAACAATAATCTAATCTTAAACAACTCATAGTAGTCTGTAGTGAAGATTAAACAAATATTAACTCCAATGAATTTAATATCATTGACAGACAGACAGTTTTGACATAATTGACATTATATATGTACATATATCCCAACTTATAATGTCAATATTATCTTAGCTCTGATCAGAGTACATTTTTCCTGTCATCATTGGTCATTTCACAGCAAACTAGAGTTCATAATTTGTTTAATTAGGCTTTAGTATTGATAGTGTAGATACAGCATATCTCACTAAAATTTGACAACTACACAGTAAACAGTTATTGTGCAAACTATCAATCAATTGTCTCAATCTTGACCATTCCTTCTGCAAATGTCAGTTTATCTTCTCTGCTTTCCGTTCCAATTCTTTATCAATCTCCTACTGAAATACATTCAATGCCCGACCATCATTATATACTACTTACACGAATATAAGTAACCCACACCACATTAGCTTAGCACTTTGTCTTTTATTGTGTTTCAGTCTTAATGTGAATATCAACACTGAGACTCAGTTATATTCAGTAGATAAATTACAACTGAAGCGAAATATATATGTGAATGCCATTGCTACTCACATAGCAAGCATAAGGGACATTAGTTATTTAAGTCATATTTCTCCTAGTGTTAGAAAGTCAGTTTTTTCTGAGGTCTTTCTATTCGTTGGTTTAGATAATCGACCGATGTGAAGTTTTTTCAAACCACTTAGCTTTCCTTTAGGTTATTGCATTCTATTCTGGGATTCTTTTCAATTTAACACTTATAAATATGCATAAGATTCATATCTAGGATGTAAATAAAGTAAACCAAAACAACTGCCAGCACACATACACCCGTTTACCCATTAAAAAAAATGAAAACTTGATAGATTTTTTTCTTTTACCAATTCATTTATACATTTCTGTTTATTAGGCTTTAGCTGCAGCCAGTTCTGCTGTTATCCTCAACACATTACAGAAACAAATTCCAGAAAACTCTACCCAAACTCTTACTTCCATAAAATTACCGGAACAAATTGAACGTGGTGATGATGACGATGATGATGATGATGACAATGTTGATATTGTCAGAATTAAACAAATAACACCATCAAATCATAATAATGATTTAGATGATCATCATCAATCAACAACACACTGCCTACAACAAAGTCAATATCAAGAAGAAAATCATGAAGTACATTTCGACAAACTGAATAAAATTCAACGTTTAATTGATAAAGTTAAAAATTCTATTTAAAATAATAAATTGATTTGATAAGTTTAAAAGGCGAATTATCTGGAGGTTTCGAAATAATAATAAACTATAAGATCTTGTCTGTTTGGAATTCATTCTCAGCTTTGTATGATTTATATTTATATATACTGTTTGTAGTATTATTGTTAGAAATACCCTTAAACATTGAACTATAGAATTTAATAATCAATTCTCGCTCAAAAGAACATGTGTTCACTTTATTGTATATTGTTATGTACAAGCATATTTTTAAATAAAGATGCTTTATTTCATGAGTTTTCCTGATGTAAAGTTGTAGTTGAAGGCCTGTTACAGAAATATATTTACATTACATAAGTTGATATATTCCCTGGGAAACCTAAGAATGATCGTGAGTCAAGTTAGCGAGACTATGAATTATTAACGGACTAATGAGATATAAGATAACAAGTTTTCGGTTTTGACACCAAGCTTGTTCATCTATATGATTAAATCGTATTTTGGCATTATAACGGATGTCGGTTCGTTATGAAAATCCTAACTCTATTTCCTGAACCTAACCTAATCCTAATTTCTCTCACTAATTTTATAATCCACTTCTGATCCTAGTAGGCTGGTGGGTTTTTCAAGGTCACTTTAGCGTCCCATAAAGGTCGTTTGTAAATTATAGTCTCATGTACTTTACAATGTCAATACGTTGAATGGTATTTAGAACTGTTTTGACTAACATGTTTATACTTTATGTTAAGTGAAACTAAACTCCTCAGACGTAATTTACAAAACCGTAGAAATTAGTCTAGTCTGAATTTACTATCCGAATGTTGTATGAAGTAGATAGAATAGCCGAATCAGATGAAAACTAATTTTTCATATTTATGCTAAAACTCACATCTGTTTCACAAGTGAGTGACTATCTTCACTCAGTAGCTTGGTGGATGACAATGGCGTTTCAAGCAAACTGTATTGTGTTCGAGTTCAGGAGTGAGAACTCTGAGATGCAGGTACATCCAACTAAAGAGTCCCAAGTAGGACGAAACATGCGTCTCGGATTCCACTACTGGCCTCATCCCATCTTTGTCAACTTGTTTCGTGATTCCTATACTGAGGTAATCCTCGAAAGATGAACATATGCCAACCACGGTCGATCATATACCAGCCAAGAACACTAACAACAGGATTCTCCAAACGCTTTCATATCAAATTTAATGATACGCTTTCTAAATTCCTAAAATATAAAAGACAATTAAGGAACGCTTGGATTCATCCCTAAAATCTACTAGCTCTGTACTTACAAAGAAATTCAGTAGTATGCTAATACATGTTTATATTCATTTTTGTGAATGACTTGATGGAGATTTGTTCTCTGAGCCGGATGAAAGTCTACCAGAAGTTTGTGCCGATGATGTTGTTCAGAAGGACGATGAAAGCTCCACGACCAATCCGTCCAACTCAGAGAACAAAACTACATCAAAATCACCCACTCGACCTACAAATCTTCACTATATCAAAACCATGCGAGTGTGAATGACTGTTTCTTACGATAATCACAAAGAATTCAGCTATTTATAAGCAACGTAGAACCTGATACTGATACTTGTTTATACTTACTTTTTACTTACTTACGCCTGTTACTCCCAATGGAGCATAGGCCGCCGACCAGCTTTCTCCAACCCACTCTGTCCTGGGCTTCCTTTTCTAGTTCTATCCAGTTTTTATTCATTCTTCTCATGTCTGTCTCTATTTCTCAGCGTAATGTGTTCTTTGGTCTTCCTCTTCTAATTTGACCTTCAGGATTCCATGTGAGGGCTTGTCTTGTGACGCAATTAGCTGATTTCCTCAAGGTGTGGTCAATCCACTTCCAGCGCTTCTTCCTGATTTCTTCCTCTGCTGGAATCTGGTTTGTTGTCTCCCACAGTAACTTGTTGCTGATAGTGTCTGGCCATCGGATCCGAAGTATCTTGTGTAGACAGCTGTTGATAAACACTTGTATCTTCTGGATAATGGCTTTCATATTTCTCCACGTTTCCGCCCCATACAATAGAACTGTCTTGACATTTGTATTGAAAATTCTAACCTTGGTGTTGGTTGACAATTGTTTTGAGCTCCAGATGTTTTTCAGTTGTAGGTATGCTGCTCTTGCTTTGCCGATCCGCGCCCTCACATCTGCATCTGATCCACCGTGTTCATCAATGATGCTGCCCAGATATGTAAAGGTTTCCACATCCTCCAAAGCTTCTCCATCAAGTGTAATTTGATTGGTGCATATTGTATTGCATCGGAACGTCTTGCTTTTCTCTTTGTTTATATTGAGACCTACTGCTGCTGAGGCTGCTGCTACACTGGTCGTTTTCTCCTGCATTTGTTGTTGCGTTTGTGATAGAAGAGCCAGATCATCCGCGAAGTCTAAATCGTCAAGCTGTATCCTGCCTGTCCACTGTATCCCGTGATCTCCTCCAGTTGTCGATGTCTTCATGATCCAGTCGATGACCAGGAGAAAGAGAAAGGGTGAGAGTAAGCAACCTTGCCTTACACCGGTCTTTACTTCAAACGAGTCGGTGAGTTGTCCTCCGTGGACGATTTGGCAGTTTAGTCCATCATAGGAGTTCCGTATGATATTGACTATCTTCTCAGGCACTCCGTAGTGTCGAAGAAGCCTCCATAGTGTTGTCCTGTCCACGCTATCAAATGCCTTCTCGTAGTCGATGAAGTTGATGTAGAGTGGTGAATTCCATTCGATTGATTGTTCCACAATGATACGTAGAGTTGCAATTTGGTCTGTGCACGATCTATCCTTACGAAATCCAGCTTGTTGATCTCGAAGTTGGGCGTCCACGGAATCCTTGATCCTGTTTAACAATACTCTGTTGAATACTTTTCCTGGTATTGAGAGGAGAGTGATGCCCCTGTAGTTGTCGCACTTGCTGAGATCGCCTTTCTTTGGTATCTTGATCAAAAGTCCTTTTTCCAGTCTGTTGGTACTTGTTCTTCATTCCAAATCTTACTGAAGAGGATGTGAAGTATCTTGGCAGTTGCTGCTACATTTGCTTTCAGTGCCTCTGCCGGGATGTTGTCTGGTCCCGCTGCTTTGCCGCTCTTGATTTGTCTAATGGCCATGCTGATCTCCTCAATTGTTGGTAGGCCAACATCGATTGGGAGGTCTGTGGGTGCTGCTTCGATGTTGGGTGGGTTCAGTGGAGCTGGTCGATTCAAGAGTTCTTTGAAGTGTTCTACCCACCTGTTTCGTTGTTTTTCAATGTCGGTGATTACTTTGCCTTCCTTGCTTTTCACTGGTCTTTCTGGTTTACGGTAATTTCCAGCAAGTTTCTTTGTTGTATCATACAATTGTCTCATGTTTCCCTCTCTTGCAGCCTTTTCCACTGACATCGCTAAATCTTCCACATATTTACGTTTGTCGGTTCTGATGCTCCTCTTCACTTGCTTGTTTGCCTCTGTGTATTCGGCTTGTGCCTTGGCTTTTTCCGCTCTTGTTCGACTGATATTGATTGCTGCCTTCTTGTTCCTCCTTTCTTCAATTTTATCCAGTGTACCAACAGTGATCCATTCCTTGTGACGGTGCTTCTTTTGGCCCAGAACCTCTTGACATGTTGAAACGATTGCCTCCTTGATACCTTTCCAGTTGCTCTCCATGGTAGTTCGCTCTAGATTGAGTAGATCATGAAAGGTCTGGAACCTATTTCAGAGGGCTATGTTGAAATTGTTGAGTTTGTTAGCATCCCGAAGAAAGGCCGTATTAAACTTTTGTGATGTTGTCCGCACAGTTGTCCAGTGCTTATTAAGTTTTAGTTTCATCTTGGCGACCAGCAAATGATGATCGGATGCTATATCAGCTCCTCTTCTGGTTCTCACATCCTCCATCGTCCTCCTGAACTTTTTGTTGATGCAGATATGGTCGATTTGATTCTGTGTAGTGTGATCCGGTGAAATGCAAGTGGCTTTTCGTATGTTTTTGTGTGGGAATATAGTGCCACCTATGATTAGTTTATTGAAGGCACATAGGTTTGCAAATCTCTCACCATTTTCGTTCCTTTCTCCCAGTCCATGTTGTCCCATGACGTCTTCATATCCAGTGTTGTCCTTTCCAACCTTGGCATTGAGATCTCCCATCAGAATTGTTAGGTCCTTGGTTGGGCACTTCTCAAAGATCGACTGCAGCCCATCGTAGAATTGGTCTTTAGCGTCTTCATCGTAGTCGTTGGTAGGCGCATAGCATTGGATGACGTTCATTGTAATGCCCTCTCTCTTTGTTTTGAAGGAGGCTTTGATGATCCTTAGTCCATGAGATTCCCATCCAATAAGTGTATTTTGTGCTTTTCTGGACAGCCTCAATGTAACTCCTTGTCTATGTGAGGCATTTTCTTCTTCATGACCAGAGTATAACAGAAGTTCTCCTGAAGATAGTCGTTGTTGTCCAATCTGCGTCCAATGTGTTTCGCTGGTTCCAAGAACCTCCAGGTTGTATTTTCTCATCTCTGCAGCTATTTGGAAGATTCTTCCGGACTCCCACATTGTTCGGACATTCCATGTACCTATAAAAATTGTCGCTCTGATTGTGCATCGGCCTCATGACTTTCGAATGAACTCGGCTTTCATCATGAGACTTCATAATTATTCCTTCTACTCCCAGGGCAGAGTTTGAATGGTTTGAATGATTTTTTCTGGTTAGCGTTTTTTTAGCGAGTTGATTTTCTACGGGATGGGGTCGCTAACCCCATGCCCAACCCTCCTCCTTTACCAGGACTTGGGACCGGCAGTAACCCCCAGAGGAGCTACAGGCGGAGTTTATACCGGCTTAAATTACCACAGCACTTCATTAGCACTGCAAGACGAGACTATTAATACATATCCCAGGATGGTAGAAGTAGTCACGGTGTAAGTACCAAAGGGAACGTTTAACTACGCAGAATTGTTTAAGAATAAATAATAAGTTCAATAAACAAAGACGCGTAAAATAATTTTGAAACTTAATATCTGAGAGAAACAAAGTGAATTCAACTGACTTATTGCTCGCAATAATCGCGCAGATCGTCAACCGGTTAATATGCACTTACCTATACGGAACAGTCCAATAGTCACCGACTTCATGGACTGATGTCAATTCTTCGTCTGGTCACAGTGATAAGTTTCACAAAGATGGTAAAAAGCATAAAAACATACAGTTTCTCATAAGTCTTTACCAACCGCATACTTTAAGTCAATAAACAAAAATGGCCTTCTGAATGTAAGTATAACGTGTAGCAAATGGCACATACAAAATACTCAGGCTCTTGAAACTAAGATTTCGCCGTGCATCGCTTACGAAGGAAACCGATATGCACATGCCACTCAACTAATCAGGTAACTACACAACTGTGTAGAGATTTCCGTTAGTATGTTTTAATCAGTAATTATTTTTCTTAATGAATGAAACTGATTTTATTTGTACATGTGAGTTTTCAGATCTGAGTTTCAACTCACTGAGGTCCATATGTGTAACTACTTAAATACAAATATATGTTGACTTAGCAACCAAATATCTTACATGAAAATATTTACATTTTGTGAAACATATCTTGCCAATGATCAGTCGAGTTCGTTTAACTGTCCGTAAATCAAGAAATTCATTTACTTAGTTTCGCCTGTTACCCC